CGATACAAGCGGAGCAACTCAGGAAAGATGGAAATTCTTACTTCAAGAAAGATCGTTTTGGTGCCGCCATTGATGCTTATACTGAGGTGAATTTTCTTGATTTCATTTTCTCTGTAAAATCTTCCTCTTCTGTTTTTTCAAGTTGATTACTTTTCTGAATTGACGGGAAGTTTTTGACTGATTCTGTTCAAAGGCTATTACTTTGTGCCCTAATGTTCCGATTTACTGGACAAATCGCGCCATTTGCCATCGTAAGCGGAAGTATGTATGAATACAATCCCTCTGTCAACTTGTTTTTTCTTTCCCTTGTGTTCTGGCTTTAACTTGGTTATTGGGTAACGCAGTGATTGGACAAAAGTTGAAGCAGATTGCCGGAAAGCTATCCAGCTTGACCACAATTCTGTAAAAGTAATGTCCTTTTCTACAAATTTTTGTTTCTTCCACAACCCAATTGTGGCTATGCACTACTTGAATTATTCATTTTTGCTTCTGGTTATTTGGGTTGCCATTTTTAGATGGTGAAAAATTACTCAGTTGCATTACATCCAAAGATACCCCTTTCCTAGTTCCAAAATTGGTTAGGTCTTAGGTGGTTATTTGGGGACCTATGAAATTCTGATAGAATCAGAAATTAAGATTAGAAAGAGAAGGAGCAGAATCAGAGGGGAAAAGGAGAAGAACAGAGAATCCAGAGAGAGGAAGAGATAGGAAAGGAAATTTTTTTGTATTCCTTATCCAACAAAAATACTTGTACGAGACTATTCTTTATATAGTACTCCTACTTTTACTAATCCTGGTTAACCAACCTTAGTTGTAACAATGAACCATGGTGGTAACTAATGACTAACCACAATCAACAGTTTCACAAATGATAGTCAACAGCTATTTAACCAACATAACCATATTATTGACTCAATCAGCATCCCCCTAATGACTAGTGCCAGCTCATCTTGGTATTTTGGCCTGTATGATAATCCTTGTCTTTTTTACTAGATTTAACCTGATGAAGTAGGCAGGACTTTCAAAAACTACACATAGCCAATGAATAATCATGGTTTGTGTTATTTTCACTTTTTAAAGAAAATTTAAAGATAAAAACTCTCTCTGTGAGGATAGGTTTTGTGATCTCTTCACTTTTGGTTGTTTGTTAGGTATGCTTTGCATGAAATGGATCATAATTGGTTAGTTTGGTTTTAATACACTTAGAAATAATGTGACTAGCATGAAGCATGAGTGTCTTCTTGTAGTCAAGCTTAGGCTACTTAATAATTATAATTTGTGTTATACTTGGGAGTCTATTTTAATAGCATCTCTTATTTGGAAGTTGTGCTAAAGAGCTAGTGATGAATTATAGTTGGTAAAGTGAAGAGATATTAGGGGATTGTATGGTTGAGAGCAAGTTTCGGCTCATTTTGCCCATGCATTCCTTGGCAGTCTAAAGGAGCTAAATGAAGGTTAATCTTGATTACTTTTCAAATTTGAAATCAGGATCTAAATGTAAGATTTCAAGAGAGTGACTTGTTGAAAATTGACATGCTATAAACAAAGCATGGTCCGGAACTAAACAAAGATATAAAGAAGTGCTTTGTTCAACTGAGATGCTCATGTTAATTTGGTGGCTTTGCTGAAATAGAAATTTAATCTAAAATTGGCAATGGTTTCTGATTACACTGAAGCTTGAATGCGCAATGTACAGCATTATGCATTGTATATTTGCAACCTGAAGGAAGTCATAGCATTTCAAAACTTGTTTCTTGAACTATGAACGTTTGGTTGTATTAAAGTATTTATCTGCTTGTCTGGTTGAAACTTGTATCTATTTTACATCTAGCAGACTAGTATTTGATTGCTAGTCCATTTCTCTACATGTTTATCATATTATCAGGACATATCATGGTTCCAATCTAATTTGTTATTTAATACCACATTACTCATCTAACGTTTTTGTTTCAGTATTGAATTTGTTCACAATTTTGCTACATTACAGGCACACTACATGCTCGGACTTGCATTACTGCAGAAGCAGGAATATACAGGAGGAGCCAAGGAACTGGAAAAGGTAGCTTGTCATGTGATCTCTTTGTGTTTGGGACTAAACCACTATTTTATGGAATTTTCTTGTTCTTGTATTCAATCTGGAAATGTTCCCTGGGGAAATGGTTTTATCTCAAATATAAAATCCATTTGTGGGTTTTTTTTTTTTTGCTCTATCAGCAGTCACTTTATTTATATCTAAAGTGCATTTTCTTAACTCTTAAGTGGGTCATATGTTTTCTGTAAGAGCTTCAACCTCGACCATGATATTTTTTCTTTCTCAACCCTCTAGGATTTGTATCTATCTATGAAAGCTATAGCCATTTCAATGTTTTATTTTAAATTTTGTTCAATGTCCTTAACTTTGTAAATAATTGTTTTAAGGTCTGAAGGCTTTTTTAACCAAAAAACCTTATTTGAAGCAACAGATAGCCATTTCAACTCTGACTTGTAGATGAATCTTACTTTCTGTAAGGCCTTCATAAAGTATATTTTATTCTACATTCATGGAATCTGAGTAGCTAAAGTTTTCAACGTATTGGTGTTCGGTCAAGGATGGGCATTACAAGGGTCTAAAAAGTGGGACAAAGACTGTGACTTGCATGAGTCTTATCTTGCTTTTGGTTCCATCTTGGTTTTCATATTTGGCATTGATTGTTATCTTGCCATCTGTAGTTTGACCCCCATTTTGTTGATTCAAAACTTTTGCATTTAGTGTTTATGTCTTGCCTGTTAAAGCTTTAAACAGTGAGTGTGGATAAAATAGAGCCAAATAAGCAATATCACTATATCAGTATAATGTAGTAGCTCTATTGACAGATTTAGTGATTTCTTAAACATAGTAGCATTATATGCTTCTTTGATGTTGGTGCTTTATTTTGCATGAAGCAAATTGAGGTGGATTTTCTTAAATTGCATGTTGAATCCAAATAGATTTTGAGAGGAACAGTTGTGAATGCAATGATATGGTATAAGTAAGTGGTTAAACTATGTTTAATCTTAGCAGCTATGTTATATTCTTGCAAATCTGTGATGGCTGCTAACAGATCAATAGGAGTTATACTCTTGGTTTGACTTATAATTTGATAGAGTTGATATATTGCTATAGTGTTGTTTGAAAGTTATTGAAAGATCAGATCTATTAAGTTTATTGTGTGAGATAAGATGTTTTGGAATTAGTTTGTCATTTTAGTTGATTGGTGATAGTAGATGCCAGCTGGTTAGTCTTGAGGTAGTGAATTACATGTGCCAACAGATGTGATATAAGTTGAAATTTGCAATTTGTTTATCACCTTAGGGTACTAAAAAAATTTTAGGGTTTTGCACACCATGTGGGGGACTTGGGGGAAAATATGAGTGAAATTCTAAGAAGCCTGAGGTGTATGGCTTTTGCTGGCAAGTACAGGTTGGAACTGCAGACATAATATCCATTCTATAAGATTTAAGAACTTGTAGGCTAGAATTTCTTACATAGGTATAATACTTACTAAATCCATTGAACAGGAAATAGAGAAGGCAGTAAAAGTCACTAAAGGGAAAAAGAAGCTAAACAAAAATGGGTGTAGTTGGGTTTGGCCATCAAGTATCCTGTGGTTGTGTCTGTTCTATTATGTTACAGAAGTTGTAGGCTAGAAAGGAAATAGAAAAGGAAGTAATAGTCACCAGAGGAAAGAAGAAGCTAAACAAAAATGGTTATTCTTGGGTTTGGTCATCAAGTATCCTGTGGTTGTGTTCTCTTTTGTTTGAGACATTGAGCTTGTGACCCAGTCATTCCAATGACAGTTTACAAAAGTGTGATGTAGGTGTTCCAAATAGGTTGAAGCCTATTGTATCATATCATTGCAAATTAAATGATCTTAAAATTACATAATACTTTTCTTGATATGATATAGCATTCCTCATTCCCCATGCATAACAAGCTTAAGCTTACTAGTTACTGTGGAAACTGCTGCTTGCTGTTGATTGTGAGCTTGATCTTCATTAAGATATTAAATCCTTTTAATTTAGGCTTTGGATCTTGGAAGGGGTGCGGATCAAAATGGTTATATGGTAGAGGAGATCTGGCAAGAGCTTGCAAAAGCTAAATACCTACAATGGGAGCATGTATCTAGCAAGCGTTCATGGGAATTACAAAGCTTGAAGTATGTCATCCCTGTGAGTCTAGATGTTGGTTGGCAGGGAAAAATATCTTCATTTTTAAGTTAATTTTCAAAAGTAGTTTTTTTGTGATGTTGTCTTTGTGCTTCATACCAGTGTTCTTCCTTGTTTCAGGGATGCTTGCGAAAGTGCTCTTAAAGTAGAACATGTTTTTGACATTTCTGAAGCAGAAGGCTTTTTAGATGAAGTTAGTGCTTCACATTTGAATCAATTGGAGGCCCTGGGACAGGTGTTTAGAAAAGCTGCTGAAGCGGATACACCAAGTGAGGTGAGAATTTCGTTTATCTTGCATTTGATAGATGCTATGTTTATCGTTAAGTGAACCTGCTAATTGATAATTTCAGGTGCCGGATCACCTTTGCTGTAAAATAACACTTGATATATTACGTGATCCTGTCATCACTCCTAGTGGAGTTACATATGAGAGAGCTGTGATCCTAGAACATCTAGAGAAGGTGATTCTTCTACTTTTCATATCTGCATTTCCAGGCTTATTACATTTTCACTTGAAAATTGATTAATGGCTTAAATCAAAATTAGGTGGGTAGGTTTGATCCAATCACACGGGAACGTCTCCTTCCTTCCCAACTTGTTCCAAACTTGGCAATAAAGGAAGCAGTCCAAGCATTTTTAGATAGAAATGGTTGGGCATACAAAGTGTGGTGAAAGTTGATTGTTCTAACTGCAGGATGAAACGTGCAGTCACGTTGGTCACACTTGCGCGTTTGATTTCTGAACGGTCTTTGGAGCGCAACTATGCCACCAAGCAAATGGTCAGATGATCCTTTGAACTGTACAGTTATTCTTACAACAATTTGCTCTTAATATTGTATAGATGCTGAATTGTGCTACAGATGAGTACCCTTGAATGGGTTTCTCTTTCCTGGTAATAGAAAGGAACTTTCGTACTTTCTTCTGTACTGTTAGCACTGGTGAAGAATCTCACTTTCACATTATAAACGAAGCTAAACATTTCGATGTGTGGATTGAAGTTTAAGTTTTATTGTTTGTGTCCTGGCTTCTAATTTTTCAAGTATTCTTGTATAAACAAAAAAAGGATTGTGCAATTTATGTTATATTAGATTACATAATATTTATTATTAGATAAAGAATGGATCTTTTGATGTTGGGTTCTTCATCCAACGGCCCTTATACGCGGTACTTTGTGTATAGTACCATGAAACTCTTGTAGAAAAGAAGTGTTTTATAAGGTAAATGGTATATTGAAAGTGTAATTTATTTTATAAATTAATTTAAATATGTTTAATAAAATTATTTATTATATTATTTTATAAAAAAATATTTTTAAAAATTATTTATTATATTATTTTATAAAAAAGTATTTTATTAAATTTATAAAATAAATTATATTTTTAATATATCGTTTAAACTTTAAATTGTAATACATAAATCTCAACTTTTATTATGCATGACTTTTATTACTATTTATATCTTGGGGAAGTAAGATGCTGTGGGGCATCTACATAAAACCCAGGAAAGTCTTTTAAAGGATACTGCAATAATTAAGAGTTTATATTTTTTATCTTAAAAATCTTAAATACAAATTTTGGGATAGATGATAAGTTTGAGAAGGAAAATTATCTTTTATTATATCATTAATTATTTAATATATAATAATAATAATAATAATCATAACCCAGAACGCCTAAATTCTAGAGTTGACTAAAACCTGCTCGAGGCTGGGGGGTACATACAGAAACAAACCCTTCGAAACTAAAATGGAAGAGACAAAATTATAGGGCCTAACCAAAATAAGAAAGCAAATTAAAGGACTCAAAAATTCAACTGCCCTAAACCAAAATCCTGCAGCACCATCTTTCACAACCGACGATCCCTTTCACAGTTTCACCCTTGTGACCACTGGAGAATGCCTTCCACATTGCCGAAGAAACCCACCATCCTCCCAGCCTCGGTTCTACATGTTGCCACTACCCGCTCCCTCTGCCACCCTTGATCCTCCACTAGCCCAGCCCCTTTTGGGACTTAAAAACCAAAACTTCTTCTCTGTTTTTGGTAAATTAAAATCAAATTTTCTTGACCAACGACGGCTTAACCCAGTTAATGTCTGCTAAATACAAACCTTAATTTAGGGGAAAGACTCGGGACTCAAGATCAAGGTTCAATTTCTACATTTTTTTTTTTGGTGGTCAAGGTATCCTAGGCGCAAATCTAGAAACTGATTTTTTTCCAATGTAATAAAAAGTAAGTTGTCTATATTGAAACCAAGAAATTAAGAGGAATTATCTTCTCATTGACCTTTTAAAAAAATTAAATCTTAATCAATAAGAAACTTATTCTTTTCCAATGTAATGAAAAGTAGTTTGTCTATGCTAAAACCAAGAAATTAAGAGGAATTATCTTCTTATTGACCTCTTTAAGAAATTAAATCTTAATCAATAAGAAACTTATTCTTTTCCAATGTAATGAAAAGTAGTTTGTCTATGCTAAAACGAAGAAATTAAGAGGAATTATCTTTTTATTAATCTCTTTAAGAAATTAAATCTTAATCAATAAGAAACTTATTCTTTTCCAATGTAATAAAAAGTAGTTTGTCTATGCTAAAACTAAAAAATTAAGAGGAATTATTTTTTTATTAACATCTTTAAGAAATTAAATCTTAATCAATAAGGTGAGGACCAAAACTCTTTACCAATTAAACCACAACTGACTGGCTAGTTTCTACAATTTCAAATAACGAACCTTCAATGTACTAAAAAAAATGGAAAAAATCAAACTAACGCGAAGACAAATTTAGCATTTTCAAAGTTGAAGCGTTCATGCGTATATTTACATTGAATAGCATTCATACTTGTTTATTGTGTTTTACCTAGCATTTGCTAGGCATGAGAAAAACATCTCTTTAACTATAAATATGGTCATGTCTTATTCGTCTGCATAAATGTCTAGTTTTTTATTAGCAGCTTTTACCTTCTTCACTTTTTTTTCCATTTTTTTTTTCCTTTTTGTCTCTCTCCTTTTTTTATAAATTAAAAGAACAATTAGCAAGCATTAGAAAGAAGAGAAGAACAATTAGTAGCATAAACCAAATACTTGATCTTGATATATTGGAGGAAATTAAAATTTTTTATTTGTTAAGACCAGCTCAAAGCATTAGTATTACTGTTAGTATTTCAATTTTGCATTTTATGATTAGTGATTAAATTTTTTCTTAAAGTGAGCTGTGTGAGTTAATCTAAAGCCAATATAACAATAATTTTACCTAAATTTGGCCATCTACTTTAAAATGAGTGAAAATTTGTTGCCAATCTCTGTTCCAGAATCATCAATCATGTTCTGAATAGTTTTCTTTGTTCCAAACTCATCACATTTTGTTATAATTCTGGTAAGTGATAATAACAAGATAGGAAACTGAAACGTTTTTTATTTTTCAAATGAATTTTCTTTGCTACCTTATGTAGCAATGTTTCAAGTAATGACTATATAGGCTTATACTCCTGTGTCCTGGCAATTATACCTGAAGGTGATGTTGGCTCTCCTCTTTATCCAGTTAGCATGAAACTGTTTGAACCGTACATATCAAAGATTTATATTACTACACAATTCAATTTTATTTCCCTCAATCAACTGCTTTTAAATGGATTTCTGCTTTTGTGGAACTTTGTTTTTTTACTTTAATAACATGGGTATCCAGGTAATTTTGGTTTCTTACACAATTCAATTTAATTTGTTTCTCTGAATTAGCACCTTTCCACAGCTTATGCAAGCAACTTGTGTGGATATAAGAATGAAGGCTTTATTGAAAGTTGATGTTGTTGTTTTATTTATTTATTTATTTATTTTTAACGTGTAGAGAATTGAAGAATTGTGATAAAGAGTAACGTAAGAATACCATTTTAGGATTTATGCTTTTGGTCTTCCTTGCTGCAATAGAACCATTTTAAAATGGATATATATAGGGAAATGGTAGGCATACCCAATTTATCAACACCCTCCATTACACACACTTCGATTTCCGTTATTTCCGTTAATTACACTAACTCCGTTATCATCATCTTCATCTATTATCTTCTTCCTCTTTCTCTGTTCTTCTTTTTTTTTTCTCTCTCTCTCTCTCTTAGTTTGGGTTCTCAGAGAACCCAGACCTGAGTTTTAGAGAATTCGGGTTCTCCAGGAGAACTTGATCCGGCTTGTTCTCGGAGAACCCAGACCGAGAGAGAGAGAAAAAAAAAAAAAAAGAAGAAAGAAAGAAGAAGAAGATAATGGATGAAGAGGATGGTAACAGAATTAAGTGTAATTAATGAAAATAACGGAAGTTGAAGTGTGTGTAACGGAGGGTGTGGATAAATTGGGTGCATGAATCAGCGTCCATATATATAATGGGTTTTTGAACCTTTAACATGATTAAGTGTCCATTTGGTGTAACTGGAATTTTTAATAGAAGTTATGTTGAAAAAAACTGTTGTAGAAGTGCTCTTTTTATAAATAAAAAGAAAAATAAGAATTAAATAAAAATAATGTATTAATTTCATTAAAACCCAAATGAGAAACTCTTGCAGAAGCACCAATTC